TTAAAAATGTTCTGCATACAATTATAAAACTTGTTTATCCAGCGAAAATTCGTACAAAAATTAATTTTATAATCATTCATCATTTTTTAATCTTCAATTTAATTATTTACATATTTCGACTAATTGAAGCGTATTAAAAATGCTCTGCATAAAATTTTAAAACTTGTTTATCCAGCGAAAATTCGTGCAAAAATTAATTTTATAATCATTCATTATTTTTTAATCTTCAATTTAATTATTTACATATTTCGACATATCTTAATTGAAGCGTGTTAAAAATGTTCTGCATACAATTATAAAACTTGCTTATCCAGCGAAAATTCGTACAAAAATTATTTTTATGATTATTCATTATTTTTTAATCTTCAGTTTAATTATTTACATATTTCGACATATCTTAATTGAAGAGTTTTAAAAATGTTCTGCATACAATTATAAAGCTTGTTTATCCAGCGAAAATTCGTACAAAAATTAATTTTATAATCATTCATCATTTTTTAATCTTCAATTTAATTATTTACATATTTCGACTAATTGAAGCGTATTAAAAATGCTCTGCATAAAATTTTAAAACTTGTTTATCCAGCGAAAATTCGTGCAAAAATTAATTTTATAATCATTCATTATTTTTTAATCTTCAATTTAATTATTTACATATTTCGACATATCTTAATTGAAGCGTGTTAAAAATGTTCTGCATACAATTATAAAACTTGTTTATCCAGCGAAAATTCGTACAAAAATTAATTTTATAATCATTCATCATTTTTTAATCTTCAATTTAATTATTTACATATTTCGACTAATTGAAGCGTATTAAAAATGCTCTGCATAAAATTTTAAAACTTGTTTATCCAGCGAAAATTCGTGCAAAAATTAATTTTATAATCATTCATTATTTTTTAATCTTCAATTTAATTATTTACATATTTCGACATATCTTAATTGAAGCGTGTTAAAAATGTTCTGCATACAATTATAAAACTTGCTTATCCAGCGAAAATTCGTACAAAAATTATTTTTATGATTATTCATTATTTTTTAATCTTCAGTTTAATTATTTACATATTTCGACATATCTTAATTGAAGAGTTTTAAAAATGTTCTGCATACAATTATAAAGCTTGTTTATCCAGCGAAAATTCGTACAAAAATTAATTTTATAATTATTCATTATTTTTTAATCTTCAATTTAATTATTTACGTATTTCGACATATCTTAATTGAAGAGTTTTAAAAATTTTCTGCATACAATTATAAAACTTGTTTATCGAGAGAAAATTCATACAAAAATTATTTTCTACAATTATTCATTATTTTTTTATCTTCAGTTTAATTATTTTCATATTTAGCCATATCTTAATAACTAATGAAACGTATCAAAAATATTCTACTTCGAATTATAAAACTTGTTTATGCAGAGAAGAGTCACACAGAAAAATTATTTTTTATAATTATTCATTGTTTTTTAATTTTCAATTTAATTATTTACATATTTCACCATATCTTAATAACTAATGAAGCGTATTAAAACTATTCTACTTACAATTATAAAAAAAATTTATCCAGCGATAAGTCATACAAAAAAAATTTTTTTGTAATTATTTATTATTTTTTAATCTTCAATTTCATAACGGTCGAAAGTATTTTGAGTTTCAAAGTGTACAAATTTTAATATAATTTTAATCAATGTCATGACGAAATTAGCAACTTCAAGGGTATCAGCGTAATTCTTAAATATTCTATATAGATCTCGTGACATAAAATTTACAAATACACTAGTGTGCAAAAGTCCTTGGTCAAACTCAATATTATAGATGGTTGATTGGAAATGTAATAAATAATGTATAATTTTATTCCTAAACATTCTTAATATGCTTATCAACCAGAAAGCAAAGTTAGCACTTTGAAAGTCACTTTAAATCAAATGCAATTTTCATATCATTCGGGTATTTGTTTTTCGTGAAGTGATTTTCTTACATCTAAGAATAGGATGAAAATACAATTGAAAGATACAATGTTAACAAATAAGCATAAGTTTTGTATATTTATTTTCGGAAATCGTGATTTGAACTTTAATTTATTATTGACATTTTGTTTTTGAAGAATTAGTTCTTACAAGACTCAAATTATATATAAAAAAAGAAATATTCAACTGAGTGCAAAGATTTAAATTTAATACGAAGAAAAATACATTGTCCATCAAATTGCAACAAAAACTCCACAAAAAAAAAAAAAAAAAAAAAAAAAAAAAAAACCAAGCTGAGAAAGGTTAAAATGCCTTTTACGCGTTGACCAAAAACTTTCGCACGATAGTGTATGACTTCCTTAAGCTTTTGAAATATTTTAAATTTGAAATTAGTTTTCAAATGCCCAAATATTCGATTTCTCTCCAGCCTAAATTCTGGGACGATATTTTTAAGATTGCAGCTACACCCCATATTAGGAAGATGAAGATTACGAATTCGGCGAAAAAATGTCACATTTATTTCGAAGAAAATGTTTTTTTGCCTGATTTCGTACCTTAAATTATTGTCTGTACTAATAAATTAAGCACATTTTAAGTTCAATATAGCACATGATAAATCATTGGTTTAAATATTATTAAGGTGTCCGATTTCTTTTCATTTTTTGTATGTTTTTGCACCTTATTTTTGTCGACTAGTATTTTGTCAACAAGAACTTTAGTATCATTTTGTTCAATCCGTTGTAAATGTATTTTATTAATAGTTGTCGGTGACTGAGAACTGCCCTACGAGCGAAAACGGTCAAAATGCATATCACTCTCTTTCTATCTCTTTCTGTCTATCAATCGAAAAAGTTCTATTCAAATATTACTTACCATAATTCATTGCTGTTCTAACAACAATAGGACCTACCTGCAATAAAAAATTCATAATGCTAATTAAACATTATTTAAAAAAGTATTTCATTTTAGCCAATAAACGCGCCAATATTTTAAATGAGCTTTTGTCATTATAAAGTAGAAGTGAGGTGAATTATCAAAAGAGAGCATATCGTGGCTCCCAGTAATCTACCAAATTGATTAAAATAGCTGAAAAAATTATTTCATAAACTGTGTTGCTTGTTTCTAAAATTGCCATTATTGGCAAACTGCCAACCTTTAAGGATTTAGCGTAAAACTTCATTTTTAAAATTGTAAAAACATTATATTTTTCTTCCTAATTCTTGAATTTATAAACTTACTTTTAAATTATTTTTGAAACCACTACACACGAAAATAAGTTAATATTATGTATAAACTAGTCACGTCCAGAAGCCAGCTTGTCCGCATTTTTTAAATAACTAGAATTTCATGTATTTTTATGATTCGAAATCTTTCAATCAAAAATCAAAACAATATGTTTGTATAATGAACTTAAATTGTTCAAGTGAAAGACGGTTTAATTTTTATCTCTTACATGTTCCAGGTGAATTTTTTATTACAATGTTTAGTACTACATATGCTAACATTAAAAAACAAAAAACCAGCTTTGCTAATTATCTCGAAGACACTTTTGATGGTTAATAATTCAAATTAGAAACTTTGTAAAAATCAAACTGTGCTCTTATTTGCTATCGTTTATTATGTGAGCAAATTAATTTCATTTGCAAGATTTTTTCCGACAAGAAGAAATGAATTTTAATTGCTATTAACTTCTTTAAATCTAAACAATACACCAATCTAAAACAGTAAACAATACATTTTAAAGCAAAGAGAAACTCTCATCTTCTACTTATCAGTTATAAAGACCATATGAGTAAAAATTTTATTATCTCTTTGCATTGTCAAAAATACAATTGCGATATTTTCCTTATTGGTCTAATTTCTGCATTGTTGTCAATATTTTTGTTGCACCAATAAAATGCAGCAACATTCACGATATTATTGTATTCAATAATTATCGCTGTGTAGAATATTCAAGATATTGTCATAACTCTCATCTTCTACTTATTGGTTATAAAGGCCATATGAGAAAAACTTTTAATATCGCGTTGCATTATCAAAAATATAGTTGCGATATTTTCCTTATTGATCCAATTTCTACATTGTTGTCAATATTTTTGTTACACCAATAAAATGCAGCAGCATTCACGATATTATTGTGTTCATTAATTATCGCTGTGTAGAATATTCACGATTTTGTCATATTCGATGCAGTTATGTGTATTACCGCTGACCTAAGTAAATCACTTTTTGGCAAACTTGTCTTCATGGTATCAATAACCGACAAGTACTGACCTTTTTTTTTAAAGTTTATGATATTTTCATTTAAAAGAAAATAATAAAAAGCTTGATAATTTAAAATTTTAGATCAGGAGAGATGTGAACATTTAATTATTATTATTAATGGTTAGTATTAAAATGTTTTAGTATTAGAATTTATTAAATTTTAAAATCTTGAAATTGAAATATCGTTTATATAAATAAGAATAATCATATTTATGTTTATTACAAAGAGAAATGTAAAGATAGTTTACACTCTAATGCTAGAGCATATAAAAATGTGGTTTGTACGAATGGGAAAAAGCATATTTATGTTTAATACACAGAGAAATGTAAAGAGTTTACACTCTAATGCTAGAGCATATAAAAATTTGGTTTGTACGAATAAGCATGTTTATGTTTAATACACAGAGAAATATATAAGGAGTTTACACTCTAATGCTAGAGCATATAAAATGTGGTTTGTACGAATAAGAGCAAGCATAGTTATGTTTAATACACAGAGAAATATATTAAGAGTTTACACTCCAATGCTAGAGTATATAAAATTGTGGTTTGTACGAATAAAAACAAGCATATTTATGTTTAATACACAGAGAAATATATAAAGAGTTTACACTCTAATGCTAGAGCATATAAAATTGTGGTTTGTACGTATAAGAGTAAGCATATTTATGTTTAATACACAGAGAAGTATATAAAGAGTTTACACTCTAATTCTAGAGCATATAAAAATGTGGTATGTACGAATAAGAATAAGCATGTTTATGTTTAATACACAGAGAAGTATATAAAGAGTTTACACTCTAATGCTAGAGTATATAAAAAGTCGACGCGTTTTTATATACATGCGCGCCGATTCGGTAACGGCTGGCCCAAACGATCTTAGCACCACGTTTTGACAAAAAGTTTAACTATCAAGTAAATTGATGAGTTGAATTTATAAAGTTTTTATAATCGTTTGGTTATTTGTTTAATTTTTGTTCTATGAAATGCTTAGATCTCCTGTCAGGGTTCCTGGAAAAATTTTATAAACTTTTATGTTAGAAAGCTGCAAATTTGGAAGTGTTAGCTCCGTTAAAAACATATAAAACCAAACACATTTTCCTCCAAATATTTCTTCTGTTTTTTAGATTCTCCATATGCGTATGAGTCATATAAATCTACAAATTTCTAGGCTATGGAAAATGAAAATCCTTTGACGAATTCTATCTTTACTCATATAACCATGTTAAACTAAAATTAAACAGTTGATCTCTTTTTAGATTAAATATTGTAGAGACAAACATATTAAAACACATGTGGGTATCTATAAAAAAATACATACCAGAAACGAAGTAATCGCAACTGCAGTAAGGCATTTCAGGACAAAACTCACATGCATCTCTCTTCCATGGATTCCCATTCAATATGTGCGACCCTTAAATACAACAGAGCACTAAATTAGCATGAAAAATGTATGATTCGAGCATTTCCTTAAAAAGGGATGTCAGTTAGTGAATAAATTTATGCTTTCAATAGATTCCTTTATTATGTAGCATCCAATATCCTCTGGGAAATCAAGAACAGATCAAAATTTATAATTTTTGAATGAAGTAATTGAGCTATCAATTTTTGTAGAAAATTTGATCTGAATGTTGGATCTCAATAGTTTAAACTGATTGAAAAATATTCAAACCTTGAGTTTGTTGATGATTAACACTAGAAAGACTGAAACTTAGTATATACCTATATCGCTCAAAAGCAGTCAAAATGATTGGATTGTAAAAGTATAAATAATGTGTAAAGAAAGTTGTTTAAAATTAATTTTTCATATTATTTATAGTTATATAACAAGTTATTAGTAAATATTAACAATAAAAGACTACATGTTGGGCAAAATTCTAGGAAATTGTGTCATTATATTCATCATTGTTTTTCTAATTGATATTAAAAGCAGTCAAAATGACTTCCTTTAGCAATCTAGTGTTAAAGATGTCAGCAAATGTAGTAAGTGACCTTTTGAGAGTGACTTACAATAGGCATATGGAGAAAAAAGTGGTATTCTATCTATTTAGTTACAGATTTCTGAAAACTGCCTTTGATGGCGAGGTTATGGCTATTTATGTGGCACTGAAACAAATTGCCGCCAGATCATACAATAGGATGGTTATACTGTCTGACTCCAAAGCTGCCATTCAAGCTATTAGATCTCGTGAAATACCTATCTCTCGGACTATCCAGGATTGCCAGGTTCTTCTGGAGAGTTTGAGGATAGCAGGGCGACAAATAACACTCCAATGGATCCCAAGACATTGCGATATCTACGGCAATGAATTGGCCGGTATGCTGGCTAAGAAAGGCACTCAAATAATTCAGCAGCCAAGCACTCTTAAATCCTTTCATTCGGCAAGACTGTATATCAAACATTTTATGAGACAAAATTGGAAAGCGTTGCTCACTTCTCGTATTTCTTCAAGAAGTTGGAGGAACAGCTTAGAACAGGGTATTGCCGATAAGCCCCGGATTAAAGCTGTTGCAGAATTCAGGTTTGTGTTGGGCCATGATTGCCTGGCGAACCACCTCTGCCGCATCGGTATTCTCGCTGATCCAAATTGCCCGTTGTGTTCGAATAATGAACTTATGGACAGGAACCATCTATTGAGATGCTCGGCTCTGCGTGGGGACTCTGAGGTGAGGCGTTACTGGAGTGCCCGACATCTGTTAATGAGATAGTGACTTTTTTCTCTCACTTGTTGCTCACCTTTTTGTTCACTGTTTTTGTAAGAGTTTGTCATTTTCTTTTGCCATTAGAAACAAAAATAAAAAAGTTATAGATTTCTTAGAAGGCTAGGAATATTTTTCTCTGCAGTTTATGATTTTTTAACAGATCTTAGATACTTTCATACGCATTTGGTTTCTCTCTCCAAGCTACATATTTGTTTAATATGACATTTTTAGTCAATTCTTGTCAAAACACTCAAGTTTAAAAACGTTAAAAAGTAGCTTAAATGTTACAATATAAATTTGGTGTTAGAGATCATCATCAAAATTAAAGCAGCATTAGAACTGATGCCCGTTAATATAGTCATACGCCACTAGGGTTTTTCCTTAGGGCACTTTCATGTGCTTTTAAAAAGGTCGTAATAGGGAAATGCTAGTGTTCGCGGATGGAGACATTTCCGGACATGAATTTCAATGTAATTTCAATCTTGATGACATGTCCTAAATCTACTAAAAGTTTGTCTCCACATTTATGCGACTCCCTGTTACACAAAAAATAGACTAAAATGTCTTTTTTTTTAAAAAACAAAAATTTTTTAGTTTTATTAGCTAAACTAGTTTCCAATTTGAAATCCTATCATTCAAATAAGGCAAGATCAAATATTTTGTTTTATAACCGTCGTTAAACAGCTGAGGCTTACAATTACTAATGTTCAACTCCGTAGCCTTGCAATTTTGAACTCAATCCAGAAGACAAGGGAACTCCTGGGTCAAGTATTGGGGGAAATTTGCCTTTGTGGTGGACTTTCTGATGGAATTAACCCGCATTTGCGTTACACGGGGAGGAAAACATCGAAAACCTACCAAGGTTAGTTTGACTGCAAGGGGACTCTAATCTATGATTCGTCTACTGTCTACTGCTGAGGATATCTTACATCGTCACTATGGTCGGTGCGACTCGGATGCGGCATTCGCGTCGACCAGCCATTTATGGGATTCAAACTCGGTTTACCTCATCAGAAGGCGAACGTTCTATCCCTTGTATTTGTATAAATGCAAAAAAAAAAATTTTCCCTAGTGTAATTCGTTGCCATTTTTTAATTACCACTACCTTATTTAAAAGAAAAATTAAACAATCATGCTCCAAACTAATGAGGATGAATTTAAAGTGGAAAAAAAAACAATTCCTAATGTTATTTCGCCTGATTACTAGATACGCCAGAAAAGTTCAATTACTTGCTTTATCCATTTTTTCCTTCAATTTATTCGGTTATTTGATTCGAAAATTTTTGCTTTTTATATAATCAGAATTTTCTTCATTTTAGAATTATAAATAAACTGTAAAAATTTATTCCGTCCCTACGGGAGAGAGGCTGACTGGGTAGTAGTGATTGTTTGTAGTAGAAGTAGTAGTTTATTTACGTTGAAGAGTTGCACAATGAACTATTGGAGATGGTCTGGGAAACATCCCTGAGGATGATCCGAAAACATGCCTTCGGAATTTAATTCTTCTTTTTGTTCTCTGCAGAGGGGATGGCTGACCCACTTTCGTTGCACGACGACCTGTGCGTGAAATCGAGCACTTTACGGTAAAACAATTAAACGAAAATCGATATCAAGCACCCTCGGTCCTTACGCAGGCTGATCAATTTTGTCACCTACCCGCTCACTGACCGCAACCAATGATGCTTGACTTCGATGTTCTATTGCGAATCGTGCCTTTACGAACAATCCACAGCGAGATAGTGATTATTTACAATTAATAAACAAAGATTTCTGTGGTTGGTTAAGTTTTAATTCTCATTAATCTAAAAATTGTAGTTTAGTGCAATATTAAATTTTAGCAAATTTTTTTATGTTTTTTAAACAGAGTTTATTAAATTAATATAAAGTGCAATTTGAAGAAGAAATTTATTTTCTGTATTACTAATTTAAGTATTAAATTAGAATTATACAAAAGTCAAAAACCTGTAAAAGTATAAATGCAAATAAAAAATTAAGAATAATGGAATCCATTTAAAATTAACAGTCTGGATTGAATATTAATATTGTCTTCGTAGATAAATATATTTGCATTGTGCTCATTCATCAAAGAAATATTAAATATATTGATTAAATTCTGATTGAAGAGTCAATTAAAATTAATTTATTCATATTTATTAAGAAGTATCTTAATTAGTATCAATAATTTATATGATGCTTAATTAATATGATTAAACTAATTTTAACTGACTTTTAAATCAGAATTGCTAACAATCTAATTAGGAATATTATTGAAGACTTTCGACAGTAAATGAAATATCTTCTTAATTACAAGTTAAATTAGAAGTTAGGAACACATTTATAAATTATAATTTTAGAACGGAACCTTAATATTAACTTCGTTGTTAAATATATTGTTCTTCTAATTCCAAAACAAACGTATGAGTAAAAAATAATCTTAGGCTCCTTTATCAGAGAAACATGACACATTTAGATTAAATTCTGATTGAAAAGTCAAACAAAATTAATTTATTCATAGAAATGTGCAACGAACCGTAGAGTGTCGTTGATCTAGATGTTCGCGAAAAATCCGGAAACGCCGCATCCGGCAAATGTGACGGAACAGGGTCAGTTGTCCGTTACTTTTTAAAACAGCCTTCACCCAATTTGTTTTCGGTGAAGTTCAGTACAAGCTTAAGATTATGTTTCTATTATGATTCATATCAAATAATTTTGATATGACAACAATACAAACTAAGTCAACCAAAAGAAAATATTACTTTTCATGTCTGATAGATAAATATAAAATATGCTACGTCTATTTTTATAGTAAGTAATGTTACATTTTTGATTCCAGTTTTAATGCAATTTAAAGAGTTAAAAGAAGGAGAAATGTTCACAAAGTAGAATCAACACAGATCTTTATTTTCCCAAATTAAATAAAATAATTAATGATCTAATAATTAGGTTCTTCTAATTTTTGTATCAAATGTTTTTTTTTTTTAAGTTATCAATTTATACAGACATTTATATACTTTTTATACTCATGGTATTTAATTTATTGGTTTCCGGTAAAAAAAAATTAAAACTGGAAATACTAAGTGTAAATAGTGTCTCTGTCAAATACTAACATTGTCTGTTGTGGCTTTGCCTCAGAATGGTTCTGGGTTCGAATCCCGGGAAAGGCATGGATGTTCTCTCATTTTCTGAATTACCTGTCCTTACTGTGGAAGGAACGTTGGCCCACCTAATATGGTCCCTCTGAAAAAGTGAGCAACTACATGTTGGGCAAAATTCT